GCTTTATAAAGTCCTCCACCTGCACGTCTTTTTAGGAACACAATCCTTTATTCTCTAAGGATGAAAAACGCTAGCATTTAAAAACTTTGTTAAGCTGTCACTAGCAATCGGGTAAAAAATATAATAATGGTTGACAAAAAAGAAACAAATTGCATCTTTGAAGAAGTTTTCTTGAAGCTCTTGTTAAAAGCTATAACCTCTGATGTTAACTAAATTTAACCCATTCTGACCCTTGAGGTGGCCCTTAACCTTTTCTTTCTTCTGCTTCCTGTGGCTGCTGGAGAGAACTGGCCCAGGCCTTGGAAAAGCCTTCTCTGTCGCACACAAAGGCCCAGCCTTCCTTCTACCCCGTCAGGAGGCCCGGAATCGACCGAGGGGTCAGCACCTGTGCAGAAGAGCAGGTGACAGTGGACTGCCTGCCTCCTTCCAGAGCAAGTTGTAAGAATGTCTACCCTTCAACCATCACGCTGCCGTTTCAGGCATTCAAGCCACAGAAGTTCAGGTTTTCTTTGTGAATGCAGACTTTAAACAAATTAATCCATTGCTGTTCAACTGACTGTAAAATTAGTAGATTTACTGTTGCAAAAGAAAAGAAAGAAGAAAAACTGAGAGCTTTCACTTCTACTTTGGTAAGGTCACGGATGAGTCCTAGGCTGCCAACAAAACAGCCTCTAAAATCTTCGCAGGGGGCATGGTGGAGACGCAGTCAAACAATGACTGAAACGTACAGTGGAAAGTCTTGCCTATACAGTGAGCGTGTAGAACGCCACATTTGAGGAACTTTTCAAAATGGAATAATTTGCCTTTAATTCCATTTCCCTCAAAGGTGGAAAACAGTGAAAGTACAAATTTGTTTTATCACTAACATTATAGTTGCTGTTCGTCTGCCTTCCTTAAATGTCCTTGTGACTGAAAGATCTCATGTGGGTGTTTAAAAACATTCTTGGGTTTTATTTTAAATGTAAAATGCTAACTAAATCTTGGTTCCGTTTTGCTTTGATTTACATAGTAGTAAACATTGTAAGTTTTGTAAGGTTTCCTATACTAGCTCTTTACATTTCTGCATGAGATCCTATGATAGTAAAGGAAATTATTTTCATTAAAATAATGAAAATGAGTTACCTGAATCCCCCCAAAACTCAGTACCTTTGAAATGGAAACACATGGCTCTATTGTTTTCCAAAGGAGACTTTTGAACCTATTTTCTGCTTTATTCAGTTGCACAAGAGACTTTCCACATAAGATAAATGGGCCTTCCATATGTAAATATTCTTTATTCAGCAGACATAAAAGCTTTTTTAAAAATTTAAATTAAGAAAAAAGCCCTGGCTGGTGTGGCTCAGTTGGTTGTGCGTCATCCTGTGCACCAGAGTGTCACCGTTCAATTCCCAGTGGGGCACATGCCTGGGCTGTGGGCTCAATCCCCAGTAGGGGGCCTGCAGGAGGCAGCTGGTAGATGTTTCTTTCCCCACCCCTTCCTCTCTGTCTAAAAGACACACATACACACACACACAAAAAACAATTTAAAAAAGTATGTCATTCATTTTCGACAAATTTACTTTGCTCATTCACAACCACCATTATGCTTTAATAATTGGTGCCATCACTTTTTGACAAGAGAAATGATTAATCGGGAGTCTAATGTTATGGGAAATCTTACACATGATGAAGAAATGTATTCTGAATCTAAGGATAGTTTGAGAGTATATGAAGGGTTTTAACACAGATGTGGTCACCACATGTTCTCCAGCAATTTTGGGGATGCAGCATAAATAGCCTCAGGATGGATCTAGGTTACATAAAGGAGAAGATCCCCTAAGTCCTCACAAACATTGAATGAGTTACTGATGGAAGCCAAAGCACCTTGATGGAGCTTCCTTCCTCCCTCCCTTTTCTTTTTTTTCTTTTCTTCTCCCTCTCCTGCCCCCCCCTTTCCTTCTTTCTTTCTTAAGTGTAGTAGGGATGATTACATGTTTGGGATGGATTAATCACAGTTCTGCCTGAGGATAAATGGTACAGATTCAGTAAGAAGGCTTCCAGCTTTCAGATATTATAACAGACAGTATCTTCAGGATGTTTTTAAAAAAATATATTTTTATTGATTTCAGAGAGAGGAAGGGAGGGGGGAGAGAGAGAGAGAAACATCAATGATGAGAGAGTCATTGATCAGCTGCCTCCTGCATGCCCCCTACTGGGGAATCTAGTCCACAACCCCAGCATGTGCCCTGACTTGGAATGGAACCATGATCTGGATCATAGGTTGATGCTCAACCGCTGAGCCATGCCCAGCCAGGCTTCAGGATGCTTTGATGAGTTATCCCACACCCTGCTTTCTGTGTCCCTTTCGACGCATTTGTAAACATATGTTCAGGAGAGCATGGACCCTCTCAGTTACTAAAATGGCACTTACATAATGAGAAAGTTGCTGCTATTTAAGACAAATGCCCTCAGCTAGATTTAGTTGGCACTACAGATGAGGAAACTAGTTCAGTCTTAAATAGCTCAGTGAGAGCAAAGACCAAGTCTAAGTGTCCTCATCAAGTCCACTCTGTTTCCTCAGCAAGTCCCAAGTCTGGCACTGAACATTTGTTGAAATAGTGAAGTGGTAAACCCAGAAACAACTCATGTGTCTGTGACCAGAGTCCAAGTTTAATATTTGTGTTTTGACCATTTCCAAGTTAAACAAGAAGAATTAGACATTCATTTTATTCTACCAAAATTATTCCCTAACACCAAGATACAAGTTTGTTTAGTGGTGATTAGATTTCATACCCAACAGACTTTAATTCCCCTGTTTTAGCAAAACTGCCTTAATAAGAGCTTACAGTCTAATGGAGGAGGGGGCATATAAACTAAATATAATTCATTAACAACTGTTTAAGAATATGCTGAATATTTCAACCTACACACACTTTTCCACATCTATTTAACTTCAAAATAAGCACAGGATTTTGACTAGTGTAAGCTTAACTTCTTCAAGTAATTGTTGCAGTTATTGCAGCCTGGTGTTTTAGTAACTTTTATGGGTAGAAATAATAACAATTGGGAAAGCTCTATACACTTCTGAGAGTCCCCTTCTATGCACATATGGAATCAGGCAGTTTACAGATTTGTGACATAGTAATATTACTTCCCCAAACCCAGAAGTGTGCCTTAGCAAGGCCCGGAAGAGCCAGTTGCCTGCTTTACTATCTTTATTCAAGGGACTTCAAAGTAAGGCTCTCAATGACTGTATAAAAGCTGTCAGGTCTTATTTCAGTTGGAGGTCAAAACAGAGTTCAAGAGATTAAAAAAAGCAAAAGAGCTTCTCTCTAAGGACACCCACCCTGTCTGCTCACCTCCTCCTTGAGGCATCTGACAGTGGCATCTAGAAAACGTCCCAGATCATCTACTCTAGACATATATCCCTTCAAAGAGGGGCCACAAAAGGGATGCTGGCAGGTTGCTCAGGTACCAATGATTACTTGGTGTGGACTAATCCTATCAAATTTCAAGTCTTTAGTTTGGGTATTAAACTCTTCCATCAATGTTATGCATTTCACTTACTATCTTCACAGATTTGTAACCCCACTGCTTCACTCATCAGCATAAGGAGCATTTAGTGTTTGGAGCACCATCTCTGGCACCAGGCTGCCTGGGTTTCTTATTCTTGATTCTATTAGCTGTGTGACCTTGGGCAAATTACTTATTTATGCTTCAGTTCTCTCATCTGTGAAATGGAGTAATAAGGTTGTCCTGAGGATGAAATGACTTCATAGATGTAAAGCACTCAGAACAGTGGCTGGCATACACACAGGTAAATTCTAAAAGTGTGGGCACTTACACTGTTGAGCACCTACCATTTCTCAAGGTATGTGCTGGTCACTCTGTCACCATATGGCCAATAACCAAACTTCTATCCTGGTATTAAGGAATAATTTTGGTAAAACAAAATGAATCTCTAATTCTCATTTAACTTGGAAATGGCCAACATGCAAAAATTAGCCTCGAACTTTGTGTCACAAACCTGAGTTTCTGGGTTTACCACTTTACTATTTCAACAAATATTCAGTGCCTCGAGCGCCAGATTTGGGACTTGCTGAGGAAACAGAGTGGGCTTGATGAGGACACTTGGACTTGGTGTTTGCTCTCACAGAGCTATTTAAGGTTGAACTAGTTTCCTCATCTGTAAAAAGAAGTAACACCTGACTTAAGAAATTATTTAATCAGAATACAGCATTGTGTTCGGAGGGACTACAAGTATCCAATAAATGTAATTTCCTCTCATAGGATAAATGAAAGTATTCTCTAATTAGGTGGCTTCACTAAGTCACGACTGTACTCCCACTTTGCCATCGAGGAATTTCCTACTGAGATAAGAGGGGCAGGGGGTGGACCCCGATAGTCCAAAGGAGGGCTCAGCAGTCAGCAGTCTGGGGGGCAAGGTGTGGGTCCCAAAAGACAGGCCGGTGAGAAACCAGAGCCCTGGGCTGCACCCGAGGTGGAGAGCTGCTCTGAGTCCTCCCCTTTGTAAAATCGCTGACCTGCTGGAAGCAATCCCAATGACAGTTCCTCGAGCCGTGCGCGTCCCAGCCCCAATCTGTCCGGTCCCGGACCCTGCGCTCGGATCAGGCTGGCCGGCTGGGCGTCACCTGCGAGCCGAGGGGAGCCTTTTACTTCCCGAGTCCGTCTGCTCACCTGCAAAACGGCGGCACTGCTCCGTGACTCAAAATAGTAAGACGTTTATGAAACATTTAATGCAAAGACTTTCACAAAAGTTCTCTGAGGTTAGCGTCAACGTAACAAGAGAAGCAAAGCTCTGCTTGCCACACGAACTTGGCACACTTGTCTTCATCTAACCTCTGGAGACACAGGAGCCAGGTGGGTAGCAATTACCCCCAAGCAACCGCGCCCTCTGCATGATTTCTGTCGGAGGGATTCATCTGCGGAGCCAGAAAAGCGCTCCTGCCCACGTCACCTTTCCTTTAAAAGACCCGGACCGAAGCCCCGCCCAGGACGGAATGCGGGTGTATCTCGCCGGACCGCCCTTTCACTGCTCCTTCTGCCGGACCTTCGCCGACCCCGGAACGGGAAAGCCCAAGGCGAAGGGCGCTGAGCCGCAGAGGGGACCTGTGGCGGGAGGACGTGATCTTAGGGACCTGCCTGCGGAAGAGGCGGCACTGCGCTCGGCAGTGCCCCTGGAAGGTCAGTGCTACTCATTGCTGGTGGCGGGGCGCGGGGAGGCCTTGCAGGCTCTGCGCGAGGTCGGGGATTGGGCCGGGCCCAAGCTGCTGCCTGGGCACCCCGGCCTCAGAGGACCTAGAACCAGCGCTGGTCCTACAGTCCTTTGAACGTTCCACCCGGCCATGTCGGCGCACGTACGTGCACGCGTCAGCGTACGCCGTGCGTCCCTACGCCTGTTTCCGGGGTGGGCGTGGTCGCCTCTCTTGCGGGCGACCCAGTCGGCTCCTCTGGGAAGCGCAAACCCGGCCAGGTTGCTGGGCTCCGGCCTGGGCGGGAAGGGCTGGCCAAGCGAAAGCTGCCGGAGTGAGTCGAAGGGATTGTGGGATTTCTTTTTATCCCCATTTATTAATTTTTAAAAATATATCTTTATTGATTTCAGAGAGAGGAAGAGAGAGAGAGAAACATGAATGATGAGTCATTGATCGGCTGCCCCCTGCACGCCCCTGAGTGGGGATGGAGCCCCCAACCCCCGCTTGTGCCCTGACCGGGAATCGAACCCGGGCGCCTGGGTCCTAGGTGGAGGCTCAACGTCTGAGCCACGCCCGGCCCGGCGTTACCCCTGTTTATTATTTAGTAGGCTCCACGGCGTAGGATTCCTGAAAGAAGTAAATTAGTTTTCTTACGGTTTGAAGTGCATGTTAGGAAGGGCCTCAGTCTAAGTACAGAGAGCGGAGGAAAATCAACTACTATTTATTGTTCCAGGCACAGTACAGTAAAGGATAAATCATATTCTTTCCCTCTTCATAGAACTTACCTTCTAGTGAAGGAAACAGTAATACGATAATCACAAAATTATAATTGTGATAAGTGATGTGTGGGAAAGATACTATACTGTGAAAGCATTTAGTGTTTGGCATTAATGCTGAGCTCAACAAAGAAATTGGGCAGGCGTGGGGGTGGGGGCCAAGAAGGGGAGATCTGGGTAAGTCTGGGAGGCAATCAGAAGAATGCCCCGAGAAAGATGGCATTAGGCAATGATCTGATGTTTCCTAAACCAAAGGGAAGAACATTTAAAGAATCTGAAAGGTCAGTGTGGTTTAGACAAAAAGGAAGTTTGGTATGAAATGAGGCTGGAGAGGTGGGAAGGGCCTTTTGGCCTCCTGAAGGGCAGTTTTAAGGTGGGGAGGGCACTGGGTTAGGTGACTGCAATGCCCAGGGGAGCGCTGATTGTGGATTTGAAATGTGGTGTAAGAGCCTAGTTAGAAGAGTGGTGGGAATGCAGACGAGATGGATGATATTTTAAACTAGGGTGGTAGCAGTGGATATGGAGAGAAGTGGATGGCTTTGAGTGGTATTAGAAAGTAAAATTGATGAGACTTGGTGTTGGGTTAGCTATGAAAGTGACGCAAAACAGAAGTGGAAAAGATGACATGTGGCTCTGGATGGGCCCGAATGCTGGTTACTGAGATATGGAGTTCTGGAGATGAGATGACCATTTAGAAGATTTATGAGAATGAATCCAACTTGTAATATTGAGCCTTTAGTTCTGGATTTAAAAGCTTTTCAGAAAGCATTTCCTGGGTGGTTATTAGATTATTTCAACAATAAAAATAAAATTTTTATAGCTAGAAAATTAAGAAATTGGCCAAAGATATATGTTGGCTTTTTCCAATGTTGTAAATCAGTGTTTTAGCTCTTAAACAGCCAACCTGGGTATGGAGAGTACTTTGTAGTCCTTATGGATCTTGTGAAACTCCTTTGGAAGGTGTGAGAAAGAATTTTAAAGTCAGAGGAATTGGCAAAGTTAATTTCACAAATACTTAAACCACTAGAGTCTATGTCACTTGGTCCAGTTAGTGTCCTTGGGAAGAATAGATGTCAATACGAGTTTGTGAATATCAGCTGTATAAGAAAGAAAAGCAGCAAGTAAACAAATAATAGAAGTTATTTTCACTCCATCTACAGTTTCAAAATGCACTTAAGCAACTTAATTTCTTATAGGACAGGACTTCCCATCCACCCCTCATGATTATGTCTACTAAACCACATATTTAAATTGCATTTCAGGAAGTTTCCTTAAAAATGCATTATCTGTACCTCCCAAAGAGGTGCTGCAAAAGATAATACAAAATAACAAATCACAAAGGGTACCTGCAAAGAAAAGAGGTACTGCAGAATAATGTATGGTAAAGGAAATGCAGCTGTCCTTTGGAACAGTAATCATATGGTCACTTTTTTTGTTGGGAGTGGGAGTACAAGAATGTTATAGCAGCTTTATTTATAACAGCCAAAAACTGAGAGCAGCCTAAGTGTTCGTCATCTGGAAACTGGACTTAAAAACTGCTGTGTATTCACATACCGGGGCACTTGTCAGAAATAAAAAGGAACAAACTAATGATACATGCAGCAACATGGGTGAATCTTAAAAGCATTAGGCTGAGATACCTCCCAACAAAGAGTACATAGTGTTTGATTCCATTTATATGAAGTCTTAGAACAGACTATTATGAGGAAAAAATCAGAATAGTCATAGCCTCTGGATGGAGATGGAGATTGACTTGGAAGAAGCATAAGGGAAATTTCTGGGGTCATGGTAATAGTCTGCATGTTGACAGAAGTTTTGCTTCCAAAGTGTTTGTACTTGTCAAAACTAACCAATCAAATGACATGCTTAAGATTTATACATTTCATTGTATGTAAATTTTGCCTCAGAAGAAAACAAAAAGATTCATAGACAAATACTGAACTCTAGTTAATAATATGCATGCTGACATATTTGAGGATGGCTGTACCAGTGTCTGCAGCTTACTTCTGAACTGTATCAAAACAAATAAAATGGAAAGGAATAAATAGGTGGATAGATAAAGCAAGGAAAGCAACATGTAGAAACTGGATGAATGGGTATTGGCATGTTCACCATACAGCCTACTTTTCTGTATGTTATACATTTTCACAATAAAAATTGGGGAAAATAGGCCTCCAAAGAACATCGTTCATTTTAGACAACTGAAAACTAATGTGAATATGTAAAGAACACAGCCCTAACCTCACCTGAAATACACAGCGTGTGGAAGTAGCCACATACTTATTTCATTAAAAATTTCCCACTTCATGGCTTAATATTGAAATCATTTCAATTACTTACAGGGTATGTGGATCACACATTAAAATTGCTCTGTGTTGTGTGCATTTTGAATAAATGCAATTGACTTTTATTTTTCCTTCTTCCTAGGAAAGTTAGTGATGATGCATAAGAGGTCCAAGAGGAGGTATGAGGACTGAAAGGAGCGGGAATTGCTGAGAGGGAGTACAGCATACAGGAGTAGAGGGGCTTTGGGGCCATTTGTCAGCTTATCCTCAAAGTAATCTGATCTCAAGTAAGAAGAGAAGGAAATTATATGTTTCATTTTAGCATGTGAAGTTTTAGCTACTGAATTTAAAACTACCAGCAGATGCAGAATTATATAGCACAGAGTGATTTCTATAAGGTCTGAATAATCATAAAATCATACATATTTCATACTATAAAAATTATGCATTTTAAGTAACTGATTTTAAGATAATTAGCTTTTAAAATATTTTGGGATGTCTCAGAAAGGATCATTCTGGAAGTAAGAGTCACTGAACTCATATTATAAAAATATAGCATTTTTATTTTGATTTACACTACTGGCTCATTCAGCCTATTATTTATTGGACAGAGGTATGAGAGACATTTCATCAGAAAACATGGTTCCCTATTTTGCATCAACCTTGAAAGGTTAAGGGTAATCCCAGACATTCTAGCTTAAAGTACTTGAACTCACTTACATTATAATGTTTATTACTCACTTTCTTACGTCATTTTTTTAGGGGGTGGCCTAACCCAGTGGTTCTTAACAGTAGAGGAGCAAGGAAACATCTTGTGTTTTGAAAAAGCATCCCTAGATCTCCAGTTTCTACTCTAAAATAGACGTGTTAACTTTTAACTGTTGGCACGACTACTGAATTTTTTCCACTCCATAGGCTGTTGATTCTTTTTTTTTTTAAACTTCTTAATTGTGAAAAACATACAGAAAAGTTGAAAGACTAATAACACCTGTATACGCATAACCTAGATTCAGCAACTGTTGCCATAATTGCTATATTTTCTAGGGAACCATTTCAAAGTCAGTGGCAGATGTCATGAAACTCCACCCTAAGTACTCCAGCATTCATTTCCTAAGAATGCCATTTTCACACCTAAGAATTAACAATACTTTCCTGAGAGTATCTAATCGATCATGAATCTAGACCATTTCAGATTTTCCCTTTATTCCAATATGTCTTTTTAGTTGCTTTTTTTCAAACACACTGTGTTTTACAATTATGTCTCCTTAGTCTTTTTATACAAGAATAGCCTCCCCCAACCCTTTTCTTTCCCAATGACACTAACTTTTTTAAGACACCAAGGCAGTTGTCTTGTCTCACACTCTGGACTTGTCTGATTGCTTCCTGTGGTCTAAGCTATTCCATTCTGAGTCTGACCCTTGTATTCCTTAGAAACTGAAAGCTAAGTTTGGAGGCTGGGCCAGGTTCAGGTTAACTCTTTGGCAGGACTGCTTCACAGAAGTCACTCCAGGAGACGTGCGCTGGGATATCAGGCTGTCCCACCGTCGGGGTGCTGAGTCTGACTTTTGGTTATGAGAAAGACAACCAGAGTGTGTTTTTCCCATTTCAGTTTGGAAGTCATCTTTGGGTCACCCTTTGGCACCACATGAATGCCTTGTTTCCTCACTAGCTTTCTACCTGATGATTTTTGTATCCATCCTTGCCTGAATCAGTGATTTGATTGACGGTGGCAAAATGGTGATTTTTAAATTATTTTTACTTGTCTTCTCCATTTATTAGCTGGCATTATTTTCTGAAGAAGAGCTTTTCTTCATCAGCTGGGGATGATTCTAGTTTTTTCTAAAAAGGTAGGATGCATGCTTAGTTCTTTACCAATTTTCAAAGTAAGGAGTCGAGGTAATAGTCACATATAGTTATGGCAAATGATCTTT